AAATAAAAAAGAAGCGCGCAAGGGGGGGGGGGGGGGGATCACAAGTAAAAATTAACACAAGCTCCTTTCAATTTAAAAATTATCTAATAAAATTTTACATAGTATTTTGATCCAAAAATTAACACAGCCAGAAAGTTAGCAAAACACAATCAACAGTTTTCTTCTGAGTTTATTTTGTGCATTATCAGTTTCATTATTTGTACTGTGTATCCCAATGTAATCAGTCAACAGGTCATGATTTCCTGCAAGGTAACACACAGATTTTAGAGGATCATAATAACATTTATCATCTTATTTTACAAAAAATAGATTCTTCTGCAGCCCTTCTACCTAGCAGCTATGATTGAAAAAACCCATGGAATTTTGGTAAACTTCCAAGTGAAGCACAAGAGCTACCAACACTGCAAAACTGTCTAGCTCTGGGTAAAATACAACCGTGAAAAGTGGCATTTTCTCCTCTCTCCTGGAGACATCAACCTTTTACCTGCAAAATGTGAAATTCTGCTACAGTTTCCTGGATTTGGTAGAGTATGCATGCATCTTTTGCTCCCCAGCTTTCCTGACACAATACAACAGAATGTTTTTCAATTCATACTCCTTCTTCAGCTCTCACTTTCGCAAGATGTTAGAATCATCCCTATTTTCCTATAGGTTTGTCACTAACTTCCCTGTGCAGCATACCAAGAACAAATCTCTGTCTAGCTACGTCAAGACCTCCTCTGAAGCACGCAGGGCATTCACATTTAGAAATGAAATCTACTGACTTCAGGTGAAATGTACCCTCTCAGTATTAAAGGACAACACCAAGCACATCAGAACTCCCACAAAGATGCTTTGCATGATGGTGACTAACAATAACCGAGATGCTTCAAAACAGTGAAAATTCCTGATAGCGACTATACTGTGGTTAAATTGACATGAGCCAGACTGACATGTAAGAGTTGCAGAAAACCCCAAACACTCTGGAATCTTGCTTTTTGCACCTTGAATCACCTGAGCACACTGTAAGTGGCTCAGGAAGCAGATCGAGCTAACAGTCCTCGGTTACCACACTCTGGAGTACAACAGCTTTCTCGCAGATTCCTTAGCACCTGCTCTACCTGTTTTGTTAGGTTTTTTTTTCTTTTGTCTTGCAGGAGTTCTACCAGAAGGGTTTGGTGGGGAAGAGAGCGCCACCAGAGCTTAAAGCAGAACTAACAGACAGGCTGGAACGCCAGTTCTTACTAACAGCGAGCTCACCGTCGCACAGCTCTTCAGTACTAGACAGTTCCCCAAGGACATTTGGCACGAACATCCCTTCCCCTCCTCCCCAGCCGACGCACACACACCCTTCTCTCTCCAGGTCCCCACAGCGGCTCCCCCCGGACGCCCCCGCAGAGCCCTCTGTGACGCTCCGGCCGCCCGGCGGCCCTAAGGCAGCGGAGGAAGCCGAGGCCCTCCCGGCCCAGCC